ATGATAATAATATGCAAATACCTGGTAAATGGTGTTTTGTGGCATTGATTCTATTTTATTCTGTGTTTTTGTCTGTGTTGTTTGCAGTTACTTTTATGTTTCAATTGATTAGCTAATCTTAACAGTTTGTATTGTGATAATATGTTATTAATTAATAATTTTTCAAAGTATACACTTAGGCAGTACAGGATTGCTGTGACCTTTGTGTATGCGATATCTCGTGATAACCTGTATTACACTGTATTTAATGCAGGTGACAGCAACCCTAAGAGCAGACAAACTCTCACTTAATAAACAGTTATGACAATGATGTCCCATTAAAACCTACTAGTAGTGATTATTAGTCCCTGTTGGATGCAGTCCGTGTGTTTGTGTGTGTATCTAGACCTACTCTTATATCTTAAGACATGCCTGGCCTGATTACATTCAAACTTTCAAAATTTGTTTCATGGTCTGATTCAAGATGGCTGAATGGCAGCCATTTTTGTGCTGAAAAATCATCAAAATCAAGAATTTATGGATGGATTTTGTTCAAATGCATGTCATTTTTTTTTTCAGATCTGATTTAAAATGACTGACTGGTGGCCATTTTGTTTTACTGAATGCAGTTCTAGTGCCATACAATGTATCTCTGCCATGCTTTGACTGATTATGTTTAAATTTCATATTTTCATTATAGATCATGTCATAGATACATGTATACAGATATATTGGTTTGACTATCTGATTCAAAATGCAAAAATCATCAAAATCATGAATTTATGGAAGGATTTTGTTCAAATTAGGTACATACGTTGGACATTACGGGACCTTGATGCATGTCATTTTTTTTTCAGATCTGATTTAAAATGACTGACTGGTGGCCATTTTGTTTTACTGAATGCAGTTCTAGTGCCATACAATGTATCTCTGCCATGCTTTGACTGATTATGTTTAAATTTCATATTTTCATTATAGATCATGTCATAGATACATGTATACAGATATATTGGTTTGACTATCTGATTCAAAATGCAAAAATCATCAAAATCATGAATTTATGGAAGGATTTTGTTCAAATTAGGTACATACGTTGGACATTACGGGACCTTGATGCATGTCATTTTATTTTTTTCAAATTGGATTCAAAATGGCTGACTAACGGCCATTTTGTTTCAATGAATGTGGTTCTAGAGCTGTATCTCTGACATGATTTGACTGATTATGTTCAAATTTTATATATTTATTATACATCATGTTATAGATATACAGATGTATTCAAAATGGCCGACCAGTGGCCATTTTGTTTTAATTAATGCTGTCCGGAACAATATCTTCCAATATGGACTAGTACTCATTTGACGATCAAATGTCAATCTTTCAATGTTAAAAAATCATCATAAGCAAGCATCAGCTTCTGGATTCATATCTCTGACATGTTTATGTTTGAACCATGGTATATTACTGCATGTATAAACAAAACTATATATCTTAAGTTTGATAACTAACAGGGACTATGCCATGCATGGCTTGTTATTGATAGTGTTATTATTCATATAATATCCACTTCATTGTAGGATGGAGACACACCATTACATCTCGCTGCTATGTTTGGTAATGTGGCTATAATACGAATACTCGTGTTGTATGGTTGCCAACTCAATATTGTTAACTGCGTAAGTATACTACTGATAGTCAGTTTACAAATTGCACTACATCATAAACACTAATTGAGGCATGTTTTTGAACACATGACACCTACAGTGTACTGTAGAATAGTTTATTTTTGCTTGGATTTAATTTTTTGCTGAAGGAATGATATTTTACACTTGTCACTTTTAAACTTGTCAAAAATCAGTGAACATAAATTACATACAAAACACCCAAAAAATCTTTTCAGCAAAAATTAATTCCAACTAAAATGAAGTATTTTACAGTAAATATCATCGATATGCAGACATTTTTGTAACTATTGGTAATGCTACATTCCATTCCAAATTATTTTAGCTCATACTACCAAGTAAGATAAATTTAATAATTTATCAAAACATTTGGTATATTACCTGTGAAGATCAATTTTATGATATATATATATATATATATATGTGTTTTCATAGCAGTACATGTATGTATGCTGCTTGAGACCCCAGTAGTTATATTATAGTAATCTTTCTAAATCTATCAAAATACAATTAAACATCATTAAAGCATGCCCTTAAGTATCTAAATGGTTCACATGTGACATATACCATGCATGCAAAATAAACTGTTTACACAAAATTCAAACTAGACGGTGTGTGGCACATTAAACCTATAAAAATTGCATAATGTACATGGTTAATCGAATTGACCCTTAGCTTTTGAAAATAAATTTTGAATTGCACTTTTATTGTGATTGCATTTAATTTCATTTTGTCGCCTTTCACAAAATAAACATGCATATATAATTTCTCCAAAAGTAACAAGAAAACAAATTACTGCCCACCTGGAAGTCTGGTATGGGTAACTATTCAGTCGTGCTGGTGACAATTTCAAATTACTAGCCCTGTAGTTGTGTAGATTTTTCGAGATAAAATATTACTTTTTACAAGAGTGTTTTCAAAATCATGTATCTAGAGGTCTAAAACAAGTATAAACACAACAATCCATGAACGATACATGATTTAGCAAACTCACACACTATACATGATTTAGCAAACTCTCACACTATACATGATTTAGCGAACTTTCACACTATACATGATTTAGCGAACTCTCACACTATACATGATTTAGCAATCTCTCACACTATACATGATTTAGCAAACTCTCACACTATACATGATTTAGCGAACTCTCACACTATACATGATTTAGCAAACTCTCACACTATACATGATTTAGCAAACTCTCACACTATACATGATTTAGCGAACT